GGGGGGGGGGGGCGGGGGGTACCGGGGATCGAACTCGGGCCCTTGCACTTGCAAGGTAGGCGGCGAAGCCACCGAGCTAAATCCCCGGCTGCTTTGTATTTTTAAATAAATATCACCCTTTGTCTTAAGAACACTGTCCCATCTCCCATCGCAACTCGGATTCTACCGCGTTTTAATTTTGTAACAAATACGGCGGCGCACCAGGCCACAGGCAAAGGAAGCTTCTGTGAGATCCGTTCGCCCCTTCTAGGGCCTTAGCAGTCGGGCCAGGAGCTGGCTAAGAACACACCTGCCTTTGGGGGGGTCTGACAAAAGCGCCCGAAGTGCAGGCTGCCGAAGGGACAGGGCTGTGTTTGTTGGGAGACTCGGCTGGGACAGCACAGATGCCCGGGCTGCCTTAGACGTGTGTTCCGATCGTCCTGAATAGCCACAGGCCACAGCCACAGCTGCCGCCACAGCGAGCCCCCCAGGGCCCCCAGCCGGAGCCTGCCGGCGCCTACTCCCCTGGCGGCCCCGGCCTGTACATGAGACGGCCCAGCCCAATCAGTCCGTACCCCAGCTCCTGCCACGCAGCAGACATGTACAGAGGCGCCAGCCCCATGAGCATCTATTCCTCCTCACCCCAAGCTGCAGGCCACAGCCACAGCTGCCGCCACAGCGAGCCCCCCAGGGCCCCCAGCCGGAGCCTGCCGGCGCCTACTCCCCTGGCGGCCCCGGCCTGTACATGAGACGGCCCAGCCCAATCAGTCCGTACCCCAGCTCCTGCCACGCAGCAGACATGTACAGAGGCGCCAGCCCCATGAGCATCTATTCCTCCTCACCCCAAGCTGCAGCTTCATATTTGAGTTCTAACGCCATGGCCCCCTACCCCGGGCTCTTAAATTCGAATAGCCAGTACCCAGCCTATCAGTGCAACGGGACCGCGTCCATGGACAGCTGCCCACCGTACCTGAGCCCCTACTCTCCCCAGTCCCAGCCCATGGACCTGTACAGGTACCCGAGCCCAGAGCACCTCGCTAAGCTAAACCTCCCACCCATCCACACCCTGTACCAGCAGAGGTTCGCAAACACCCAGAGTTTCCCCTCCAAGTTCTTGGGCTGCGGCAACCTGACTGGGCAGGGCGATGCCTTCGGCGCCTGCCCCGTGCGGCCCAGCGTCCACCACGCGGGACCCTACCCGCCTTACGCCACCCACGAGATGGACGGC